CATACGGGAGCTTATCTTCACCCACTTCCTTTGCAGTCGAGTAGGTAGGCGTCTCGCTATCACTTCTAGGACGGAACTCGAGTTCAGATCGCCCATGCAATTCATCGAAATCAGTGCATTCTTGTAAGTCATCAAATTATCCAAAAACTCAGTGAGTTCCTGGGAATCATCCTGTAATTGACCACCATTACCTTTAACAACCTCGAATACGTTCCTTACAATCATCGAAGGTCTTCCGAATCTTTGACACAGTATACTCATAGCCTCAGAGAATCCTTCGTTTGGCTTCATAAACCCACAGGACTGTATAGCTCTTGAAGCAACTCCAGTGCTATACCTCAACAAATATATTAACTTCACTCCATCATTTAATAAAATACTACTCAACATGATTTCAAACTCTCTTACAAACTGTGGATAGTCAGCTGGGTTTTCGTCGAAACACCGAGGTTCATATTTAGGCAGTTTAAAATTCCTATTATACTTAGACGGCGTAGCAAGGACATCAAACTTATCATCACTTAACATCACATACATCATTACATATAACATGCAACTCAGAATTACTCACTTTCCTGCTTGCTTCCAAGACGCTTAATCCCTTTTTTGACCCAAGCATCACTGGACTTCACCAAAATTCCAGAAAAGTTCCAGATAATGCTTGTCCAAAGAAGACTTGCGGACACCAGGAAAGACGAACAGAAACTATCAGAAACTGTCAATATCTAGGTCTTACTACACTGGACCTCACACAAAATTTCCGAGGTTTCTCTCTTCCAACGAACAGCGAAAGATGAGACTATGACTGCTGGATTGATGACTCCAGAGAAAAATATGGATGTCAATGTAGTTGAAGATTGAACGATCAATTCATGGTTGTTTGCTGAAACCCAGCTTCCCCATAATTTTCGCGGAGGCATGAATACACCAGTCATCGTCTCATCGGTCGCTGTTCAGAAAGAAGTCAGGAGACAACCGTCAGATGCAATATTTTGATTTATTATTGTAATATTTGTTTATAGACCTTAGTTTTAAAGCTTAGTTTCGAAGTTGGTTATATGTTGGTGCTACAATAAAGAATTCTCGTGTCGCCAACTGGTGTTTTGGTTTTTGAGTCCGTTATTACTAAGCGTTTCTGAGAAACTTCAAGGAACAGCGTGAGTCCCAGCGTAACAAGAGCTGGGCATTTGACGGTTTACGAGACTTGTCTGACAATAGAGGAGTTGGGTTTGAGCAAACAACTATGAATTGATCGTTCAATCTTCAACTAGACTGATAATTCTGCAAGATTTATTGTTCTATTCAACAGGATGTGTCAGGTAATTATGTTGCAAACCTTCATTCGTATGGCTATACACCATCTAAATATTAGGAGAGCAATAGCGGGATAGAGAATGGCTCGTTATTAACAAAATATCCATTTGAACAAAAATTTGCGACGGTCTAATTAGCGTGAAGATGTAAACTGATGTATCAGACGCAATTTCTGTATCTGAAGGTTCAATATTAGAGTTAAAAAGAAGTATGCAGTGTGTTTAATCTGCATTTTTTATTTGTATCCAGAATGAAGTCAGCTAAGTTAAAACATGAATGATAAGATCACAGTCTTCCAAAATGTGAATGAATCCTAGGTTCCTGGGAAGCTATGTGGTTTCTCCTGCATTGTTCACTAAGGTGAATCCCCCCATTCTGCAGGAATAGCAATATGAAATTTAACGGCTCGAGATTTTTCTGATTTTATGAGGGCTTAGATCTTTGTCTTGAAAAAGAAAATAATGAAAGCCTAGACACATCATGCTTCTGCTTTTAAACATATACCGTTCGCTCAGCCTATTGTTGAGATGTGACCACGTGGGCTCTGCACAGATTTATGGGGTATCTTATAAATTAACTTGCTTTCCATTGTCGGATCTTTAAATACCACTTCACAATATCTTGTCCCATTCATTTTACAATAATGTCTTTACTTGGTCCTCATTATATTCCATTAAACCTAAGATTTTATAGCTCTTTATGAATTTGATTCGACTTATTCTATTCCTATTCTCTGTAGGGTACAGTTGTACACCAAATGCACAAAAAGGTATGAAATAAAAACGACTGGCTTGAGGATAATTGTATTAGAGCGAAAAGTGGATATCATGATAGTAAGGCCTATACGGGTATCATTATAACAGGGACATACAATTCGCACAGGAAGGTTCTTACGATCTGCGTAACCAAACTTCCACAGTGACAACTCATTCTTTTAGGTCAGCACTCCGTGAAAACTTCTTCACAGTCATGTATTCTAAAATATGGAATAGCCTACCCCTAGATGTCAGAACTTGCTCTTCGGTTACAAGCTTCAAACGCTCTCTATACAGACTGTTTCACTCTACTGATTATATTAATAAACTATTTACTCCTAGAACGAATCAAGCACTAATCTACTACAGCACCTAAAAGACGCACTTCAACACCCTTAGCAATCTTTAAACTATAAATAAACTAGCAGCATGGATGCATAAAGACATAGTACGGAACATATAGGATTAGTTTACCCTTAGAAATAGGACCTATCCCTCATTGTAACCTTCAAACGCTTGCTATATACTGTTTTGTCCCAATGATTATCCCTACAAGAACCCATCACTTATTTCTAAAACGCATCAGTCATTAGACCACTAAAACGCTCAGACTCATTAATACACATTATGACATTAAATAAACTCTAAGACTTCGCATAAATACGTGAAAACAAATACAATATAGAAAAAAGTTTACTTAAGTATAATATACAACATTTATAAATGCATAATATATAAATGTCCTTTTCATGTTCACATACTTTCTCTTTCTGGTATTTTGCTGCTCCTATTCATCTTCTGGTCGAGGTCGAACAACCCTGCATCTAAACTGAAATGAGGATTAATTCCAAACCGTCTATCTCATAACCACTCAAATTCCATGAACGATCCAATTCTACCATTTGAAGACGCTGGCGAACATGCTGTAAATGAGTATTCATGATCTGAAATGAAGAAGCAACTGGTCTTCAAATAGTTTTCAACATTTTACTCAACTTACGAATACAGTCCGCCATGCAGACACAAATGGAGCAAATGGAGAATTCTGGAATCGACCTCGGCACCACTTGATGCAGTAAAACAACCCAACATGACCTTATCTAGTTTTCGTATCCACGATCAAATTTCTTTCCTGTTATAAAACTACGATAAGACTACTGAAAAAATGGAATAAATATATCACTGATCTCAACATAATACATCAATAATCTTTAAGCCAAGGGTGCTGTTCACAACAAAGTTATATAGGAGAATTGACTTCAAGCTTTATTTTTCCCAGATATTTGTATTACATTCATCTGATGTCTGGGTATTTTGTTAATGCGAAGACAATATTTCTATATCTCTTTATGTGCTACACAAACAAACTTTATAGCAGACTGTTCCGACTGACTTTGATGTCAGAAAGAACAACCAAACTGTAAATTCACTATACATCAAATTTTGTGTAATTTATATAATAACTTATCCATGCCTGTACAATTGGTATGTTCCTGCATGAACAGGAAGAAATATATATTATTACATTGCAAATGGACGTTGTCAGCCTAGGGATTAATTAGTTTCCAATTGTATTTCCTTTATAAATGCATTTATTAATGATATATTGCACTTCCTTATACCATTACACTTTAATGATTCACCTTAGCACTTTTGCTTTTCTAAAACAGCTTTCAATCCCTTGTAAAAGTTGTACTTACCTCAATATTGGTTGGTTATCGTATGCCTACAACCACGGGTTGAAAACGAAACAAAGTCGTTTTTTCCACGGAACCTGGAGGACAACTGTACAATTCAATAACTATACGGCCTGGCTCAGACAATGAGTATATATATATATCAAATATTTAGCTGTTGAAACATAATTAACTTGTAGACAATCCACGATTTGAGATTATATTATACTTGAACGTGCCTGTAAAAATGGCATGCATTTTCATGTAAATTTATATGTTTATATGAAAATATAAATTATTTTTATATTTATTATGCCTTGCTGAGTAATGAAGCATTCTATGCAAACAAGGGGAGGTTATCATGATCTGTAGTGATGTATACTGAGGTGGTCTCAGGTGCTCGGCCAAGTTCCCTATACTATCTTAAATTTGTTTGGAGTAGAACTGTTTTATAAGACAACTTACGGATTTAGTGACACTGTAGTAATTTATTGTACTAGTAATATTAGTATTTTGAGATGACGGAATTATAAGAATCCAAACAAAACCCAGAGAGGGCGGCAATCAGGAATTTGTATTTAGCGGAATTATTATTCAATTCATATATGAAAATATTAACAATCAACAGTAAGTATTTAAACAATACAAAGATAGAAATAGTCAATCACCACATCCGCCACACGTTGAATGTCTCCTTGCGTATTTATAATGATATCGCGGTTTGCTTGCCAGTCTCTGCGATCTTCTAACTGATTCGGTGATATCATTTCCATCAGTATCATCTAGACTTATTTCTGAATTATCTACAAAGTCGGGATTAGTAGCGGAGTCATTATAATCATAATCGGAACGACCTACCTCATTTATTCTCACTTGATCCAAGTGTCTGTTATGAACTGAATTATCTTCGATGTCTAATATCTTCACCATTCGATTTCCCATTCTTTGTAGTATGATACCAATAGAAGGTCTATAATCATTCCCTCTGTAATAATGTACATCAGAAGTCGTGGACATCAGATGCTTTCTGAGAATTCGGGATTTGAATAGTTTTGCAGGACTTTCACGGGTACTTGTATGCTCCGCATTGCGATATTGAAGTAAGAAGTTATCCACACATCTCTCTAGCTCATCAAAATTTTGAGGACTCATTGATGCTATAGCACTCTTTAATGTTCGTACAAAATTTTCTGCCAACCCGTTTGACTGAGGATGACGTGGTGCTGTGTACAAATGACGACAACCTATATGTTTGAGCCAATCATTGAAGTTCTTCTCCGTAAAATGAGTACCATTGTCAGTAACTAAGACATCTGGAATTCCTTCTCGACTAAAAATCTTTCTCAACGCTCTGTGAGTGAATTTGGCATTAGGACTATCTGTAATGATGACTTCTGGCCATCTAGAATAAGAATCCACAATAACTAAAGCATAATATGAATTTAAGAATGGACCACAGTAATCTGCATGAATACGCTGCCAAACCTCACAAGATGCAGGCCACGGTGTCCACGATGACTTCCCATAGGACATTTTATGTAAACAGCTAGAACAGCTCTTTGATCTTTTGTTAATGTCAGCATCAATTTCCGGCCACCAGCATGTTAGGCGTGCTAATGATTTCATCTTATCAGCTCCTAGATGAGCAGAATGTAGATCATCCAAAATTGCAGATCTTAATGTTGGAGGAATAATAATTCTGTCATTCAGACATAGAAATCCTTCAGGATGGACTGAAATCTCATCTCTTCGCTTATAAAAGTCTGGAAATCTTCGCTTACACTGAACATTCCAACCTCTTTTTGTTGCATTTATAACACATCCGTAATATTTCCGAGTATCATTTATAAGTCGAACTCGATCCACCGGTAACGGCTGGACTAATAAGCAATCAGTATCATTAGCAACATTTTCAAATAATGAATAACGAGATAAGAAGTCTGCATGAGGTATATCCTTTGCCGATCTATGTTCAATAGTGTAATCATATGCACTTAGTTCTAAACTCCATCTTTGAACCATAGCAGCAGATGATTTATTCAAAGATTTTTCTGGATTGTAAATGAATTTCAAAGCTTGATGATCAGTAACTATGTGAAACTTAGTACCAAAGAGATACTTGTGCAAGCGTCTTATTGCCCATACAACTGCTAGAGCTTCTTTCTGGGTTTGTGAGTACCCTTGTTCACTCTTACTTAGACGTCTTGAAATACAAATAACAGGTTGTCCATTTTGCTCAAGTACTGCAGCTATACCCATAGGAGAAGCATCTGTAGTGAGAACAGACTTATCTTTCGATGAAAAAGGTCTTAAGAAAGCTTGTTTATTAAGAAACTCCAAAGTTTTTCGCAAGATATTCTCATGTTGTTGTTCCCACTTAAACTGTTTACTGGAGACAATCTCAAAAAGTGGAGATAACCGTTGAGTGAAGTTGGGAATGAATCTGGAGTAAAACTGAAGAGTACCTATCCATGATCTCAACGATGACATATTATTAGGTGACGGTGCTTGAATTAGAGGTGCCAAACGACTAGCATCAGGTCTGAAACCTTCGGAGTCTACTGTGTATCCCAAGCATGATACAGACGACAAAGTGAAATGGCATTTAGATGGATTAACAAGAACATTATTCTCACATAAACGCCTGAACAGTTTTAAAAGACGTTCATTATGCAATTCGATATTAGGACCATGAACTATAATGTCGTCTTGGTATGACTCAACACCATCTAATCCATCTATCATCTGATTTATTACATTTTGAAATATTGCAGGTGAAACCTTTAAACCAAAAGGCAAGAACTTATACTTGAACAATCCAAATGGAGTATTAATGGTTGTTAATGCACTAGACGCCTCATCAAGAGGAATTTGCAAATAGGCATCTTTTAGATCTATTTTGGAAAAGTATCTTGAGCCATGTAGCTTGTAGAGAATGTCTTCAGTTTCTAGAGTAGTGCAACTTTGCTGTAGTAGACGACTATTGAGTGTAAGGCGGTAGTCACCACAAATTCTAGGTGTTTTTCCATCAGCCTTTAGTGGCGTAACAATAGGAGTAGCCCAATTTGAAGACTCAACTGGCATAAGTATGCCTTGCTCAACCAACTTGTCTAACTCTTTCTTAACTGCATCTCGCAATCCATATGGAATTAATCGGCGTTTCAGGAAGATAGGATCACCCTCTATTTCAAGATGGATGGGCTGAATCTTCATACCACCTACACTCTTTGAGCATTGGAGAAGTAATTCCCTGAACAAAGATTCATCAAACAACTCAGTACAAAGTGAGATTTCGACATTTAACAATCTAAGGGCTTTTAATCCCAATAAAGATGGACCATATTCACTAACAAGAAAGGGAATATTTACAAAATTACCACTGTCTGATTTCAAAGAAATGTTAGTAGCCCGATAAGAGGTAATTTATGACCAGTTATGCCTGTAATTGAACTAGTAGTAGGATCTATCTGGACATTCTTACAAATCGATTGTAAATCTTTCTTAGAAATTATAGATTCAGTACTCCCAGTATCAATTATAAAACAATGGGACTTGCCTGAACTTGTAGTGAAGGTTCTCATTAGATGAGATTGAGTATTGGGAAAAGTTGAAAGAGACATCGACTGCATTTTACCAGATAAATTGGAAGAATTATCAGGATTCTCAGTAACATATGTATTCGAACTTCTGCACACAGTCTTGATGTGTCCAACTTTACCACATTTGTGACACTTAGCACTCCGAAAACGGCAAGTGCTTCGTAGATGTAACTTTCCACAGGATAAACACGGTTTAATGTTTTTGATCTCTGGCTGCATTCTATTACCTGTGGACGGCAGTTTGGATTGCTTTCCATGAACACTTGTATTTTCGACTTTAGAAAGCATAACATCAGATACTGACGTAGTGGGAGCAGAGTATTCATTATGGACATCTTCATATGTAATACATACATCTTTAGCAGTTTGAAACGTACAAGAAGGAATCTGAATTAACTCTTTCTCTAACTTAGGAATATTGATTCCAGCAATTAGACGATCACGTAGTTGAGTATGCAGCTGATCTCCAAAGTTACACTTTGAGGCTTGAATTTGAAGTTGAAGAATGAAGTCTCTAATCTTCTGGTTGGGAGAACGTACCAGTTTGTTGAAGTGAGCCCTCTCTCTGGTCTCAAATGTAGTCACATGAAAGTGATTTGTCAGAAGTTCACGGATCTTGTCATATGACATAGAAATGGGTTTATCTGGAAACGCCAGATTCTTCACCAGGCTATATGCATCAAGCCCAATAGCGGTGATGAAATGAGCAGGTATTTTATCATCCCGAACATTCTTGGAAATGCACCACGCATCAAAGCATTCCAAATAATCAGCAATCTCCCGCGGAGAACCATTAAGAGGAAATTTTCCCAGGTTACTTAGCTCCATCGCGACGCCAATTTGTAGTAATTTATTGTACTAGTAATATTAGTATTTCGAGATGACGGAATTATAAGAATCCAAACAAAACCCAGAGAGGGCAGCAATCAGGAATTTGTATTTAGCGGAATTATTATTCAATTCTTATATGAAAATATTAACAATCAACAGTAAGTATTTAAACAATACAAAGATAGAAATAGTCAATCACCACAGACACCTTGCAACGTTGTAAATAGGAGCGCAGATAACTTTAGTCTCATAGTCATAACCAAAATATGAAAACTAGAGACTTGCTAGCATATTTTCGGGTGTTCTTTTAGCAGAACCATAAGCAGCAAACGCAGGGGGAGCATAACAGAAACATCTCGACAAAAAATTTCGAGGTTGAAGGACTCACTGTGTAATCGGTGTGTTGCACAATGTGCTTACAGCATGCACTAAATGTGTTGCAAATCTCGGCAGTGAGGCTTAACTAAAATACTAGGTGAACCAAGCAAAAAAGCCTCCGATTACATAAATACACATTCTTCCTGACAGAATGATATACTGACACTAAAAGCAGAGGAAATTTGAAAAATATGTATTCTCAAGTAGTGAAAAAATTATTTACAACATCCATGTGCTAACAACAGTTCACAAAAGACGGCCTGTTAATTTGGCCGACTGGAAGCTTTTCCTGTTCTGCAACTTCTCCTTGTACAAATATCTGAGACTCTAGAGGTAAGCAGGATGAAAATTGCTGGTTTAACAGGGACCTTTATCGTTGTTGTTGTGGATCCCAGCCATCAGTCATAGTCGGCTGTTGATGAACTACAGTTTAACGGTTGTTTTAACGTCCTCAGAGGCTGTTATTTTGTCCACACTGAATTACCCATGGAAATGGCCTACGATACCCTAACAGTAAAGTGTACAGCGGAATCCACATGAGTATCACGAGGTTGCACATACTCGTCTGTTTCAATGCTTTTTCGCTACAGGTGGTCACCCACGTGCCGTGTTTCTGATCGAATAAGACACTCGCTATCCGACTAACAGACGTTGTGGTACTGGAATCTACCAAAGAACTGAAAAGTCTTTTAGCGGTATTCCTGGTCTGATAGTTTGGTGTGGACATAACTGTCACAGTTATCTGCAATTTTTCTGAAAGCTCTAATATCCTACCAGAACATAGCTCAGTGACGTCCTTATCTGTTGTGTTCGACATGTTTACCAGTGACAGATTCGTCTGAATCGCCCCGAAGTATCTCGCCCTACTAATGAAGACAATTCATTTCATTTACAACAATTGGAGGTCATTTGTACTAACCGAAGGTCATCCAACTGAGCGCCAAATGCGTCTCGAAGCGCCACCCTCATGAGATGACAGGTCTGGGTTTTTGTATTGCGTTTAACTTGTTAACAATCCTAAACACCTTTCAGCTTGTCTCGCAAAAGAGAGCTAATCAATGTGTATCTTGTGACCAGATTTTTTGACTATCCGTATTATGGTCTGTCCATCAAACAAAATTTCTTTTTACTGTACGGTTATAACCGCAATCTTGAACACATATCCGTGAGCGTATAATTGCTTATTCTTGTTTGCAGTCTTGAACAATAACTAGTCAAGATCTAACCATTCGTTTCCACCAAAAATTAGTAGATTCGCTTAACAACAAGTTATGAATAGTAGTATATGTACACAGTGAGTTACTTAGCTACAACGCACAGTCACCCATTTTAGACCTATTTGACATGGTACTTATCTCTTATCACAGTAAGCATTATATCTCCATGCAATTCGGAGAGTATCACCCGTGTCCTTAAGGTCCCAAATAAGCAGATTACAGAACTGATAGAATAAATGCGTAGTAACTCATTTGGCTTCTTATTCGATGTTAACCCTAATATTAAAAGTAGCTATCGTATTCGCCCAATGCTTGTCATAGTAACAGAGTTCACATATGCTTCTACATAAACGTATTCCTCTGAAAGTTTTGACAATTCCATCTACCCATTATGACCTCTGCATGACGACTAAATCAGTTATTTGCTCATGGACTTGAAATTTCCTACATTCTAAACATACATAATTACATCATTTTCGCGGGTAACTGTAGTGAGTTCGATACCACTTCGGTTCTTCAATCTTTTGCTCTGTATGACGTGTTTAGCACATTAGTCTGACTGTCACATGGTGAAATATGCTCTTTTGGTTCTTCCATATTTTTGAATTACATGTTGTAATACAAATGTCAGTTGTTTCCAGTCTCAGATATATGTGCTACTGAATTTCTCTCTCAGAATCACTTACTGGACCTACTCTGAAATGATGACAGTTCTGTTAAGCGATTATCGATAACATTCAGCCGTGAAACTAACAAAATTTCATGTTTGGGTCGCACATCTGACTTAAATGCAAATAATTTCTTCGTGATTTCTTCATTAACTTCATATGCAAGGGTGGGAGCTCAGATTTCGACTACCGACTAACAAACTCCCGAACCTTATCTAGCTGGTTGTAAGCTCGGGTACGAAGGGATGAAGGTTGACCACAAAGCTAGTAACTCCACTTCGTAAAGTTAACATCATTACTACTGAAACTTTAAAATTCGAGCTCTTTGTCCCACTCGGAACGCAAGGAGTGGAAAATGTACTGAGCTGTTAATCCTACTGCGTTGATTGAGAAAGTTTTAAGTAGATTCACTTGAAATCCTACACTTTTGTCACAACGTAGATCGTATTGCATTAACTGTTCACCTGTGAATCTTCTCATGTCATTTTGAAAAATAAACTTTTTACTCTACAGGCCGTGAAAAAATCCAAGTTATTGGAGTGTGATCACTTTCATAGCATTCCGTAAGTGTAGGAAAATCAAGAGCATTTCAAATAGTAGACGCGAATTACTAGACGAAAAAAATAAGCCACTTGCGAAATTAAGTGAACTGGATAATTGAGTTTGTAGTCTTGTTTATCATTTTACTTGTGTATTTGAGCCTTACGTATTCGTCTGCAATGATATTTCTAAATGAATAGATAAGAGGTCACTCAGTTCAGTTTATACATTGTCATACTCAAAGTAAATCTTTAGGGTGAAGTAGTAAGACTAGACTTAAACAAAGGCAGAACGACAAATGCACCAGGATAATATGAGGTCATCTTTTATTATTTCGAGGCGTCATCTCAACTACCTACAACATGAACGATACAAAAGTATAAATTACTACAATGAAGATCTGGACTTTTTCTTCAATGTGGCACAGTGGTTAGGACTCTCACCGATCATGCACATGGTCCGGAGTTCGATCCTCTGCCGACGCACATCTGATATTTATGGTCGGCCTGCTAAATTTGGGCTACCGATATCACGTGCTGAAAATTCTATACTTGTACCGAAAATATGGTGTGAAATCAAGCTGTAATCAAAAATAAAATAAATAAATAGTCTAGGAGTGAGATAAGTCTAAAATGATATCAGCAGTTGAATTACTAAGACTTAAAAGGACTGATTAATTGTATGATAATTAGACCAATACTCTTGAGGAAAGAGTTCAAAATTTCTCGATAGAAATGAAGTTTAACTAGGAAGAGTATCACAGTATCTTAGGCTATTTGATCACAAGATGATTTTAAAAAATAGCGAAAAAGGAGTAGGGTGAGTAACTCAGGTAAAACAATAGAATTTTCTAAACAGAAGAGAAGATATGGTAGAATGCATGACTTAACAAAATTTTGTACTTTTTTATTTAAGGTTAATCACCGAGGTTGTGAAAGCTTCACCACTATCTCTTTATGCATACATATATTTGATTTTAATCGCTTGATAGTAATTGCCTCAGCAAAGCGTAGCAAGCTAGGTTTCTTTTACCCGTTGATTATTTTCAATGCCGTCAGATTTTCCACAGCATGACCATTGTCCGATAAATCGTGCGCAAACACACTGCTTAATGCCCGTGAACCCTATACTCTCACTTTCTTACAACATTCCAAACTTATCTTACTCCTAGCTCCCATCAGTTACTCTTTGTTATTGAGGAAAAAGTTCAAATCTTTATTGTAGTGATTTGTACTTTTGCATTGTTCAGGTTGTAGGCAGTTGAGAAGACTCCTCGAAATAGTAAGAGCTGATCTCATATTATCCTGGTGCATTAGTCGTTCTTTTTCAAGTTTCCTAATGGAAAGATTTGTTTGAAGTCTTTAATTGGACTAAATTGTGCAGTCGATTCCTCCATTTGACCTGTAATTCATACTTTTTCTCATTTATTAATAATAAGTCTGTGAATCACATGATGAAGTGTCTTTATCTTTATTTTTCGGGTGATGTCTATTTGTGTACTTGACCAGTTGGACAAATGGATTTAAAAAAGTTTAACCAGTTCACAGAGTCGTTATAAATGTGCTACTCGACTGAAAGCTGCTACCTTGACGTGGTGGTCGGGCTTGAACACCGCAATGAC